TAAATGCCATTTAACATTAAACATGTACAAGCCACTGAAATGCCTGGTAAAATGAAATGGGTGCTATAGTAAAACTATACAAAGTAAGTCAGACATGAATAATGCAGCAGGTCTGAACAGGGTCATGGGTCAGACTCCAGTACCTTACAAAATAATGAATGCATGTCAGGTTAGAGACATACATCCCTTCCTAGCACATGTGAGTTATTGGAGATAAACCCTGGACTTCCTGTTCTGGAACAAAGTGGCTTGTTGTAAACATCTATGTCCATTTAAAATTAATGATTAAAAGAAAGATTCAGTGGGATTTGCTTAAGTATTCTTTATGGCTACGAGTGCTAAAGGTTACTTTCTTCATTCATTTTTACCCAGCCACTGTTAACGTTACAGACACATCATGTTTTCTTCTGTGCTCAAATGTTTATCCAAACCTCATTTGCAAAAGAGCTTATATAATATGAAGCAGGTTTTTTTTCAATGCATTCTTCATTTAAATATAAACAGAGCATCTCTACAGTTTTGCTTCATTAAAGGGAGCCAGCCCTATTTTTAAAGACAGTAACCCAAATCCTAAATATGTTCTATGAAAATATTACATGGAAAACCATCTGTAATTCACTTGAGTATAATTGAGTATCCTGATCTGCTAAAATTATCACCTATATCTTCCATATTTTTCCCCCCAAATACAAAAAATATTAACTGTCCTCTCATTCTTTATTTCATATATGTGATTGTGGTAACTCTTTTCCTTCTTCAGTCTTCACAGGGAGAAGAGTATAACTTTCCAAAATGGGAATTTTTCCCCTGTTTTTCATCAATTGTCACAATAAAAGAAAAGAAATATAATGAAAAATAATATCATTTCATTTTATGAAAACTAGTCTGCTTCATTTTCCAGACTTAGATGGAGAATTTAACATCTGTTCAGCGTCTTTTCCTTCTTTTGCACCCTGTACTGCTAGCTTCATAATGCAGTTCAAGGAAGGGGATACCTTCTCCACATCTATTTATACTAAACCATGTTTGATTATTTCCTCCCTCCATTTGAACATAGTAAAGAGAAAATCCCAAATTTTATATTTAAACTGAAAAGTCTTTCTACTTAGGAATCTGAAAAGGAAAAATTTTGAGGAAAGTGGAACTCGAGGCTTTACAGAAATAAAGCAAATACATAGGTATTGCAAAAGAAACATAAGATCTTGCATCTGATCTGTTAAATATTCCATCAACAAGGTCAAGAGTAAAGACAAGCCCAGCCACAAAAACTGAAGCAAGAGTAAGCTTTAATAAAAAAAAAAATGCACAGTTTATCCTCTTCAGCTTTTCAAGTGTAAAAACAAAACCTTTTTTACTAGAGAAAAATCAAGCATGTATATAGCATTTAAAAAGACACCAATATCAACCATTTTAATGAAAGACTAACCAATATTTTCAAAGAACTATAAAAGGGAGTGAGACTAAGTGTTATGGCAAAAAGCCTGGGCTCAGCAAGTTTGTGTGGGAAATGGTGAAATGTGACTGTGATTTATAATGAGAAAAGGTATCTACAACATACAATTTTCTACCTAGCTGCAAATAATAATTCATAGTGATGTCCCTTCCAGATAAAATACCTTTGCAATGTAAGCCCCATGTGGTAAAATGATCATGATAAATGTCAGACCAGTGCAGGTAACGGCTTTACAAACCATTAAGATTAGCTGGATTTTTTTTTTTTTTTTTTTGACGATAACAGTAACCATGCTTTGATTCTATGTGGTAATAATATCTCAGTACTGATAAATGCCAGAGCCAGGCAGAGGTGTTTATCATTCCCGGTTCAGAAATGCTGACTAAAGTTACCACATGTTGCCTGGTTTTTCTTCTTTTACAGTAGACTCATAATTAACAAATAGACTGAATCACAAAACAATTTTATGCAAAATTTTTACAGTTCTTGTGCTCTAGTACACTAATACTGATTACTTTGGTACAGTAAGTCCTAAACCAAAGCTTTCTACCTTTGCCATTCTCATAATAAATAATTTCTTTGTAAATGAATACTTCTCTTTTTAGTTAACTTCTTTTACAAATACACCTTATAAGGAAGAGCAGCCTTGGCTACCAAGCTGGTATCTGTGTTAATCAACACAGAGCAGAGACACTTCCTTCAAGAAAGCACAATAAAGTTTTACTGTGCATTTCCTTGCAAATATTCTACAATGGACAAAAACTGCAGAAGTCTTTTCTCCCACTGAGTCTCTCCCTACCTCAGTGTTTCAGTTCTGCTCAAGTCCATTGAATTCTCAGGAGAAAACAGAACTAAAAATAAAGCCACTTGGGAAACTTTATTTGAGAAGTTGTTGTATAGTCAGGGTAGCCCCCTATCTGAATATAACTTATCTAGTAAGATCATAACAGGTCTTAGTGCTGCATAGGGCAATGAAACTGGTGGAGGATCTAGAGCACAAATCTTAAGAGAAACATCTGAGGGGACTGGGGTTGTTTCTCCTGGAGAAAAGGATGCTCAAGGGAGACCTCATTGCTCTCTACAACTACCTCAAAGGAGGTTGTAGCAAAGTGGGGGTCAGTCTCTTCTCCAAGTAACAAGCTATAGGACAAGAGGAAACATCCTCAAGTTGTGCCAGGGGAGGTTTAGATTGGATATTAGGAAACAATCCTTCACTGAAAGGGTTGTCAAGCATTGGAATAGGCTGCACAGGGAAGTGGTGAAGTCACCATCCCTGGATGTATTTAAAAGACGTGTAGATGTGGTACTTAGGGACATGGTTTATTGATTGACTTAGCAGTATTGAGTTAACGGTTGGACTTTGTGAGCTTAATGGTCTTTTCCAACCTAAAAGATTCTATGATTCTATGTGTGCACACCAAACAGCACAAATACAGAATTTGTATCCCCTTCCTAAAATAAATTCACTTCAGCGAATTTAATATAATTTTAATTTGTAACTTCAGTCATATTTCCATTGGAGGGGATTGCCCATAGAGCAAAAATGAACAGTTCCATTAAAACTTATTAGAACAAGAACTGCTTGTGGTAGAAAACATCAATGGATGGCTGACTGAGTTGCAACACTGCGGGAGTTTTTACTGTTCAGAAGTTAAATTTCTGTATAGGTCAAACCAGAACAAGAAAAATATACCCAAAAAAGTGTATTTATAAGAATGATGTGGACATGCCAAAACAAGCCCAGAGGAGGGTCACAAAGATGATCAGAGGGCTGGGGCACCTCTCCTATGGAGACAGGCTGAGAGAGTTGAGCTTGTTCAAGCCAGGAGAAGAGAAGGCTCGGGGAGAACTTAGAGCAACATCCAGGGCCTAAAGTGGCTGACAAGAAATCAGAAGAGGGGCTTTTTATAGGGCAGGTATGGATAGGACAAGGGGGAGTGGCATTAAACTGACAGAGGGGAGATCTAGATTAGATGTTAGGAAGAAGTTCTTTCCTGTGAGGGTGGTGAAGCACTGGCACAGGTTGCCCAGGGAAGCTGTGGCTGCCCCATCCTTGGCAGTGTTCAAGGCTAGTTTGGATGGGGCTTTGAGCAACCTGGTCTAGTGGAATTTGCCCCTGCTTGTGGCAGGGTAGTTGGAACTAGATGACCTTTAAAGTCCCTTCCAATCCAAAACATTCTGTGATTCTATGATTCATTTGTGTTTAACTCCATCATCACTGTTGTCAATTGCATGAATTCCTACAGGATAAATCCATATTAAACTTTGAAGGTTTTTTTACTGGAGAGTAATATCTATGCACTGACTACTTCAACATCTTGTCTTTCATATCTATACAATTTTCTATAATATAAAAAATATAGATATATACATATATCTGTGTATTACATCAATCTCAACAGGACTTAAGAATACATGCTGAGGAAGAAGTATTGCATTAGTAACTTTAATTTTTAAGTTTAGTTCAATTGCAGGGAATTTTTACTTGAAACTTTTTTTGGGGGTGAATTCTTTGAATCAAGACACTAATCACCATGTATGCTTACGCAGCACCTACCGCAACTGGGAATCAATCCTGATTGAGATCTCTGAGTGAAGGGTAATATGAATATTAAAAAGGAACATATACAAAGAATGAGAGGTGATAATTAAATCATAGATGATAAGACCAAAAAGTATTCTCAGGTTATCTAGGGCATGTAACATGCAAGATGTTTTTCCTACGTCAGACCTACTGGCACCTTATCTAATCTGTTCCTAAACAAAAGCACACTTGCACATGACTTTAGTTGCAACATTTTATGCAAATATCACTTAAGCCTTTTCCACAAAACTATGTATCATGATAAAACGTGAAGATATATCTTAATAAAATGTATAGCAAGGTACTTATCACCTGAAAAGAGAGATTAAAGTCCTTAGTACTACATTCTCTATTACTAATCACGAGTTTGAAATACATTTTTTATCTTGCAGACATTATGAAATGCTGCAAGTATTAGAAAACAGTTACAGTGGAATAACTTCTCAAAATAATAGATCACCAAAAAGGACAACTTAAAAGAATAACAAATAATTGTATACTTCCAGACTTGATGGGGTTTAATGTTAGAGATTCATAAATACATCTAATATAAATATAATTGATGTGAAAAAAAGGACAACAATGACTACCTGGGAAGTGCATCCATCACAGAAGCTGCACCATTGGACAAATGTTAGCTCCAATGTGGAATTCCAATTAACATGTGGGTCCCTTATGACTTGATGGCATTTTATCCTAAGATGATGGTCTAATAGTCTAATAAAATAAATGAAAAATGTAAGAATATATTTCTGTGAATCAAAAAATGCTTCCTTAAAATTAAAAGAATTTTTTTTTCAAATTATTCTTTCTCTTTATTCAGGTAAAATAAAGTATAACATATTTTGGATTTAACCATATATTAATGACGGCTTTTCATGTTAAGGTACCAGATGCAGTACTAGGCAAAGTAATATCCATATATCACACACAGGTTGTTATTTTCTCTTTCCTCTCCCTTAGAAATCCAGGACAACGCCACTCGCATCAAATCAATAAGGACCCTGGTAAAAAAGCTCCCTAGACCAAACTATGAGACAATGAAAATCCTTTTTGAACATCTAAAGAAGTAAGTAGAACTGTAGTAGTAAGAGATCAATGATTTTAAAAGGAATTGCTGTGTGGTGTCCTAATCCTATTGGAATTGTCATCCAAAATACCAAAGATAACTATGCTCTTTGGCAAAAGTAAGCATGAGTTATGGTATCTATGAATATCCTATTCCTGCTGAAGAAATCAGTATGTCTAAGCAAAAGCCAATTTTTTTCTTCTACTAGAAAGCAGATCAGTTCTCTTTTCTCTGATGAAGTCAAACATGTTGGGATTACTATGCTACATATCTATTCACAGTACCACAGAATGTTTTGGATCGGAAGGGACCTTAAAGGTCATCTAGTTCCAACTACCCTGCCACAGGCAGGGGCAAATTCCACCAGACCAGGTTGCTCAAAGCCCCATCCAAACTAGCCTTGAACACTGCCAAGGATGGGGCAGCCACAGCTTCCCTGGGCAACCTGTGCCAGTGCTTCACCACCCTCACAGGAAAGAACTTCTTCCTAACATCTAATCTAGATCTCCCCTCTGTCAGTTTAATGCCACTCCCCCTTGTCCTATCCATACCTGCCCTATAAAAAGCCCCTCTTCTGATTTCTTGTCAGCCACTTTAGGCCCTGGATGTTGCTCTAAGTTCTCCCCGAGCCTTCTCTTCTCCTGGCTTGAACAAGCTCAACTCTCTCAGCCTGTCTCCATAGGAGAGGTGCCCCAGCCCTCTGATCATCTTTGTGACCCTCCTCTGGACTCGATCTAGCAGGTCCACATCCTTCTTATGTTGGTAAAGTGCAACAGTTCCAAACTTTTGGATCACTATATTTTCACCATTGAGATCTCTGCTGTTCAGCCTTTTTATTGATCTTGTGATATGTGTGAGGCACACAATGACAGAAATACCTCACCCAAGAAAATTCATTATGAGCTCTTGCACCTCACCATGAGGCTTGTGACAAAATAGAAGATCTAAGAAACACTGAAGAGAGATTTGAAGGTTCATCTTTGCTCTCCTAATGTTACTGATATACCACAAAGGCAGAAACATGACACCATGAGGCTCCACCTTATAATTTCTCTGTGGTTTTTGCACTCACTGATCTCCTTCTGCAAGAGATGTTCAGCCCAAAAATTCAACCCAGGATCTCGTGTTTGTTCAATTTGGTTTTTCTTCTCATGTTTCATGGCATTAAAAGTAAAAATGTACATAGATCATGGACTCACTGAAACCAACTTGCAGCTGTTTGACTTGGAGAATGACTGGGCAGAAATGGTAGAGCTCAAGACAAGGGCACATGAAGGGCAAAATCCAGCTCTTCCCTTTGTCGCTGTCCTGCTGTTGGGGCTAATTGGTGCCATTTTGTACAGTCACTTTTCAGCCAAACTACCCTTAAAATTGAAAGGACTAAGTAGGATCTAGGGCCCCATAGAGGCCCTTGGCACAGAGAAGCATTTCATCCCAGGAACAATATAATGACCCCAGTGAGTGAATAATAAAGAATCCAAATAAAAGACTACTCTGAGCTTATAATGAATGATGCCTTTATACTGACCATTTCTGCTACGTTCTTCTGGCAGATACATGTAAGAAATGCAGATCCTTTATCTTGTTCTGCAGATCCCAGCTGAAACTGCAAAATGAAGTCCATATAGCTGTGGGAATGTCTCTATTTCATTAAGCATGGGAAGATTTCAAGCAGTCCATAAAATGACTGAGTTTGGCCTGGCAGAAAAACAGTTTTCTGTGTATTCATCTGATGTACCATGCACACAGTTTCTTTCCTTCAGCGGGTTATGTAGAGAAGTATGATAATTTATTACTGTCAATGGAAGAATAATAAGGGAAATTATTTCCTGGGAAGAACCTGAGTGCAAGAAGTGGGTACATGCTAACAGCACAGATATGCCATATACAAGATTTACTGCACCATACATGGCATTGATCTTAACCTGACAAAAGTTTTGTTATCATGTCTTAGGGAAGGGATATCAGGTATACACTATAAGTCTTTGATCTCAGTTAAATCACTTGATTGAGACTCAGGAGACGTGGTTTCAGTTCTTGGCTTTGACCGGATGTTCTGGGTGACCTTGGGTAAATCACATAATCTCTCTGTGCCTTGGTTCCTTGTTTACAAAATGATGATAATACTTTCTTTGTCTGCCTTGGCTTTTCAGAATATAATCTGTTTGGGACAGCAATTGTTTCCTGCTGTGTATGCCAAAACTGGACCATGACTGGTGCATTTTGGGGATTAAAAAAAAAAAAAAAAAGGGGGGGCACCCTCCCGCCCCCAAAATACAGACAGTAAAATACCAATAATTCAATATTTCACAATGCATATGTACACAATACTGGGCTTGACTACAACTCTATAGATATAGTAATACCTAAATAAGCACATGCTCTTACCTAGGTGTGACTGCAGAATGCATGGTGAGGATAAAGGTATACTGATAGAATAACATGGCAGAGAGTGATAGAAGGCAGGAAGATGTACTATCTGAGCCATTTGCAGGTCTGATCCATATGGGAGCAATAGCCTGAATCTGTCTGAAGGTCAGGCTTTTCTGTCAAACATACATATAACCAGGGAAAGACAGGGCAATTCCACAAGCTTTATTCCACTGATATGGAAGCAGCAGTAGAATAGATACAGAAAACACTAAAAAAACCAGATGAAAACTGGTATGTTCTCTTGAACTTGTCAATGCAAAAGACATGGGCTAGTCTTAATGGACTCATGGCTCCATAAATGAGAATAAAGAAGCATATATACAACTTTAATAATGACGTGATATTTACATTATGTTAATACAGGCAATGTGTGTTTAAATCAACCGAGGAAAAAAGATAAGTTTTCAATAGTTACAAAATGTAAAATTATATCACTTTTACGGATACTTTTCAGAAGAGAGGTCCCAATGTGCACAATGTGCCAACCTCACCACTGACTTCCCCTTTCTCCATCCCCTTCAATTACAGTGTTTTCTTAGTGTAAATCACAGGAGGTTCAAAAGTTTCCAATTAGTCAAATACAAAAAGTAAACTGGTTTGATCTGGTGTATATTACTGCAATTTCTGTATTTTCTGCTATTCTTGACCAGTGTTGTACAGGGCTTCAAGGGGTTTCTGATGGGGAAAAGCCGAAGGACTGCAGTTATGCTGTTTCTATGGCTTTCCCCTCTTTCTCCTACCTCTTTTTCTTTCCTCCCTGTCAGACAGATAGGAGAATAGGGCTTTGCAGACCTGGACTATGGGACTATGCAAGCCTGTGACTTCTGTATAACACATGAAAGCATCCCTCACTGACACTCAGGAGCTCAGCATGAGAATCCAACCTTTGCCCACAAAGCTATACTTATCCTAAATCACTGACAGCAGTGAGGATACACTATGGTTTCATTCTGTGGCAATCCAGTCTGTAGGAGTATGTCCAGATCAAGTACAAGTAACAATGTGAAATGCACTTCAGAAGATTCTTCCTTTAGAAACCCAGACAAAGCAGCCAATGCGAGAATCTGCGAAGGCCTGGCAGCTGGGATTAACACTAGTGCCATATATCTTTCTTAGATGAAGCTTTCTGAAGTCACAATACAGTGTATGAAACCACAGGAGGGGATTAAAAGCAAAGCCTGGGGTTGCAGTACCCGTTCTTTTAAGGTTTTTCTATTTGACGGGAAAAATTCCCACCCCACAAATGTCCCCTGTTCATCTTTGTATGAGATTTATTCTACTCATAAGTAGGAAAGACAAATTATGGGGCTGAACAAAAATATCACATAGCTTTTGTAAGCCTAATACCGTAAGAAATTGTTTTATTAGGACTCACACTGAAAATAATTGAACACAACTACCCTTAGGTTATTCATACTTCCTGGAGGTGACTAAATTGTACAAATATACTTTAAACAACAAACCCCAACCTGAGTAGGGATTTCCCCAAATAAAGGGCTACAAAAACCAACCTGTTCTACTTGAACATACTTCAAGAATACTTGTGTGCTATACATAGCACATATATTGCTGCTCCATTAGCAAAAACAGCGTCCCCATTCCACAGGATTTTATTCTTTCCTGTTGCTTATACACAAGTGAATTTTATTCACAGAGTGAGCTAATTACAGGTATTAGACAAAACTGATATACTTTTCTGGTCCTATTTTGCAGGCATACGTAGGACAACAAATGATGCAGAAACCTTGCATTGGTTCCCTGCACAACCATGAACTGAGCACAACAGAGCCTTATATGATAAATCAGTATCTGTACCCAGTAATTTACTCACAGAACTATAATCCAAGGGAGGCACAAGGAACATTTTGCTCGCTAAGGATCCCACATTATTTTATGATCTAACATGCTTTCACAGCAGCATCTTGAGGTAGCTGTTACACACTAATTGGGAAACTGAGGCACAAGAAGTTTAAATTACTTACAGATTAGGCATAAGCCATCAATACAATCTAAATATCTGCAAGGTTCTTTTGTTTGCACAGATGCTTCTCCAGTGACCAAAAAATACTCTTTCCTCCCTAATGCAAAATACTGTAGGGGAGAGGAGCATCCTGCCTGGGTCCTCTCCACCACGCTCTGAGCTGGTGAAGGGGGCAGACATAGCTCTGCTCCAGAAGCTGTGTGCCTGCATTATACTGTGTCTGAGCTAATAAGCTGTGCTTATTAATGTTAAATTAATGAATCTCAGCCTGCTCTGTTTATTGGGTTGAGCTCTGTGCCACTGCAAGACAGCTCTGCAACTCCCAGACCCAAGCTGTTTCACATCTGACCAGGCTGGAGCATAGGACAGCCAAGCTTGTGTCTGTCTTTACCCATCCATATAGACATCCCTGCAAAGAGATAGATTACAGACAAAACCCCTCTCCTTGTTTCTTATTTTCCTGCACAAAGGCAGGATAATACATGTTATTTACAAAAGTATAAAATGGATGTTGAAATAATTAAATGGGAAGGCAGGGGCCAGCCTGATGCTACCAGCCCTCTCCCTTACGCAGAAAGCACTGAGC